AAAATAAATAAAGATACTTATATAAAATCACAAATAAAAATTAAAATAATACTTTTTTTTTATGGTACTTGAACCGTGTGATATAATTCCATGTTTTGGCTGAAAAAAGCTTATCAAATCGGAACAAATTTTATTGTTTTTTAATTTAGCCATTTTACAAAAAGACAAATGACGATTCCAATTTGTCAAGTTTAATCCTATTCTTTTTTTGCCATACGCACAAATAGATTCGGTAGTTGACATAATGAATAATAATTGTTTAATTTAAATTATTCACAATACACATTTCACAGATATATAACTTAAAAAAAATTAATAACCACTGTTAACGAAGGCACCAAGACAAAATACTAGGTTTGTTCCAGCATAGTGTTGCAAGTGGTTGCAAACATTCAGCACATGCGCAATGTCAAAAACGTGTTCCAGCAGAGCAAATTTAAAACACCCAACAAAATGATTTCTGTTCCATCAGTGCTGCAACATGTTATCAACTTGTTGGAAACAATAATTTTCTGTAGCGAGTTATACGTTAATTCAAATGTTTCGCGCATGCGTACAATGTAAAATATTAATTATTGTGTAGAGTTAAATTATAATATTGTAAATAGGATTAAAAAATTAATTTATAAAACTTATCTCAGATCTTATCAATCTATTGGGGAGGATGGTGGTAGCCTGCTCATGGCCCTCCCTGCATATGCTATTATACACGCCGAAACCTAACAAGTAGAAGCACCCATAATAGTATAGCTAATACCACCACATAGGCGCTGATACCCAGCTCATCAAACACATAGAGTAGTCACTATCTTGATACTGAGATGACAAATGTAAACGGTCCTTTTAAGGACCAACTAACGCGTGATATTGGGGCTAACCTTACGGTGTGCCACTTCAATATCGAAGGTATATCGAGAGATAAGTGCGAGATCTTGAGTAAACTTATGAACGATGAACGAGTCGATGTTATTGCATTACAAGAAACACACACAGTAGACGACAAGGACCTAAAGAAACGAGGATTTATACCAGGATATGTATTACTCGGCTCAATCAATCACAAACAATATGGTATTGCAACGTACGTGAAGGAAGACTTAGATGATGTGGAGACTATATCGAAATCAGTCTCGGAGAACATTTTTATCTTAGTAACCAGAATAAATGAAGTCAACATCGCGAACATATATAAACCCCCAAATGAAACCTGGAGTAGCCTTCCTATAAAAGTATTGGCCACCCAAAAGTATATACACCCAGCAATATATATAGGTGATATTAATAGCCATAGCACAGCATGGAGATACGACGGCAATGACAGTAACGGAGATGCACTAGACGAATGGATCACATTGAATAATCTACATCTTGTATACAGCTCAAAGGATAAAGGAATGTTCTTTTCAGCCAGATGGCAAAAAGAATATGCTCCGGACCTAAGCTTAGTCTCAAGGGCGTCACTCATTGACAATACAATGGCCACACGGTAGGTAATGAGAGATTTCCACCACAGCCAACACAGACCAGTAATTATAAAATACGACTTGTAAATACCAATGGTTCGGTCAATTCCCAAACATCGCTGGAATTTTAGGCGAGCAAACTGGAAATAGTATGCCAAGGAAGTAGACCATATCTTACAATGGATTCCACCAGTCGCCAATAACTACGAGCGTTTCATTGGAGTTATCAAAACGGTAGCAAAGAAACACATACCAAGGGGCTTTAGGAAAACTTTTATCACTACATGGGACAAAAACTGTGAACAATTATTCGAAGGTTTTCAAAGGACAAGAGATTATGAAATCGCAAACAAAATGCTTAAAATACTTAATAACAACCGCAAACAGAGATGGCACGAATCGGTCGAAAAGCTGGACTTCACAAGATTAAGTCACAAAGCATGGGGTCTTATGAAAAAAACTTGGAGACAAAAATACAAGAGCAACACACAAATAAAAGCTATCAAACCAGACGATATTGCATCTAGACTAGTGAAGGCCGAAAAGGTAAATATGGATAAAACTCTTGGAAAGGAAATCAAAGTAAATCTTAGAAAAGCTAAAAACGAATTAAGTAAGCAATCGGAATATGGTACACCTTTTTCGATACAGGAAATAGAAACAGCTCTGAAAAAGACAAAAAACGCAAAAAGCAGCAGGTTTTGATGGCATATACCCGGAATTCTTAAAATTCACTGGAGCGTACACTAGAAGATGGCTTGCGGAATTTTATAGTGACATACTTGAAAAATGTCATATACCTAAACAATTTAAGAGAGCAAAGGTGATCGCCTTACTTAAACCTGGAAAAGAAGGTAAAGAAGCGGCAGAATTTAGGCCAGTGTCCTTATTAAGCGTCGCGTACAAAATATTAGAAAGACTAGTGTTGGAACGGATACAGCCAATCATAGACAAAGTAGTACCCATTGAACAAGCTGGATTTAGGGAAAACCGTAGCTGCACTGAGCAGGTTCTGGCCCTCACTACATTTATAGAAACTGGCTACCAAAAAAAATTAAAGACCAATGTCGCGTTTGTTGACCTGTCGGCAGCCTATGATACAGTGTGGAGGCAAGGTTTAATGTACAAACTTACTAAGACCATCAATTGTAGAAATACTGTTGAGTTGATTAACAACATGCTTACAAACTGACTACTAAGAGTGTTCTTAGACAGTAAGGAAGTAGATGGCGGAAAATGAATGATGGGCTTCCACAAGGGTCGGTATTAGCACCAACACTATTTAACTTGTACATGAGCGACCTACCAAAAACGGAAGGCACCGTATTCCAGTTTGCAGACGATATTGCGATTGTCTACCAATCATTGGAGATGGTGGATGGTGAAAGGGTGTTGACGAAAAACTTAACAACCCTGAACACATACTTCCAACGTTGGAGACTTAAACTAAACCCAAATAAAACGGATGTTTGTGTATTTCACCTTAATAACAAACAAGCTGGTAAAACGCTATATATAATACTTGATAATGTACAATTAAACCACAATTTTACTCCAAAATATTTAGGTATAACACTGGACCGAACATTGTCTTTTAAGAAACAAATAGAAAATAGTGCTAAGAAGGTGAAATCTCGTGTGAACCTTATCCGGAAGCTTGCAGGTACAGGATAGGGAGCTAATGCAATAACATTCAGGACAGCTACAATGGCTATTGTTTATAGCACAGCTGAATATGGAGCCCCGTGTGGATCAACAGTGCACACGTGACTCGGATAGACTCTGAACTCAACAACGCAATGAGGATTATTAGTGGCACAGTAAAGACAACCCAAATACCTTCGAGTACATCGGTTCTGGTTCCTTTTCTCTTCAAATTTATGGTTGTCTTTTTAACTGCTGTTTTCCTCTCATCTTCAACAGACCCAAAAGCTTTATTTATAAATCCATCTGGTTTATCAATCACTTCATGTACACTTCTTTGCAGTGTTGGTGTGTCATTGCAGGCTCTACGAGTATTTCTTATAACCTCAGACTCTGTTAACAAAATTTCAGGGTTTATTCTTTTGGATTTGTGAAATATAGTATCCATCTGCTCTTCAAATTTAAAATATTTCCTCTCTCTTGCGGTTTTTTTATTGTTATCAACAACAGCTTTATAAGTTCTTATTAATGTCTGAAATTTGTTATTTACTTGTGACCCTGTTAATTTTAGTTGAAATTCAGTGTTTAAGATCTCAACAATTATTTCATACAACATTTTGTAACTCCGAATTCTACTTCCTACGTCTTTGTAATTTTTACCATATTCATTAATCAGTCTGAGTGTCACATTTCTAGACCAATGTGTATATTATATTCAACTGTGGTTAAATTTGAATTGTTTGGAGTCTGTGGAGGATCTCGCATAACAATCATTTCACTTAATTCTAAAATAAATTAAAATGTTTATAATTATATATACATAACTAATATATAACTTTTGTAATTTGATTATTGTATTGAAATAATGATATTGATTTGCTGCAATAAATAAATAAATAAATACTGAATAGTACTGCGTTGTAATACTGATTAGTACAGAGCTCGTCATAATAGCACAAAACTGTTTTGTTTGTCTAACAATGGACATTTATGTTTTCAAATTAATTTCATTTTATTAACCTGCATAAACCTTTTCCATTTTTTGATGTTGTGTTGGTTGTAGGTACCTACGTCTTGTACTCTTGTATATTAAATAGCAGTTAGCACGATTAATCGTGGTAAATGATAATAGTGATAATACAACTTTGGCGGCAAGTGATAAGAAATACCGTATAATTGATAAACAACCTACGTTAATACAGTAATATACCTTGGTAAATGGTAATAACCACAACCGATAACTTTTTCAGCCAAAAACTGTTCCAGCGGATCACTGGTTGCAAACTTGTTGTGTTAGAAAATGTGCGTTGATTTTATGTTGATAACAATTATAACTAGTTACCAACACTATGCTGGAGCAAACCTACTATATGTACAAAAAAACATTTAACGATTATTGACTGATCGCATACTGATTGCTGAAGTATAGTACATACGCATTACGTATCACTTTTACTTATAATTCTATTTTTAGAATTGTATCGTGGAATAAACCATTTGGTAATCTTATGGCGATAGACATCTCTGTAGTCGTGTATAACCCGTAAATACAACAGTTGTATTAATTTTAAATCGTATTAATAAATAACACATCTATAAATCTACAATTTACATTCCATATAGTTACTACTTACTATGAATTATACCGTTAAAATATTCCTAACTATTATTCTATATGATTCGTATACGAAAAATTACGTAGACTACCCACCCACCTAAAATTAAAGGTGTAGCAGGCGCTACACATTTACTATAGGATAGTCGCCACTGCTTGTTCTTATAGAATATGCAAATTAAATAAATAAGTAGTAGTTGAGTCATGAAGAAAATGGTATTTATTTTGTTTTAAGTATAATTTCGATGCTTGATACATTTTGTTAAAGTTTTGTCAAGTCATTGTTTATAAACGCCAATATGTGCTGAACATAGAGGACACGAGTGCCTGAAGTCCTTGAATTTATTCAAGCAAAATGGTACGAGAGCAAAACATGGTAACCTAAAACAAATGTTTAGTTAACGATACTTATGCTTGAGTAATTATAACGTTTTAAATTTATACGGAATATTTATGAAAATTAGTATTCCGGATATGAACGAAAATATTTTTTTGTTTTCATTAAAAAAAAAATAAATAAATAAATAAAAACAGTTGCCTCTAATGGAAAATTATAAATTAGAGGCAACATTAAAATAAATTTTATTTGTATTTTACTAGTTATGAAACTAATAATTTATAGTATATTATATTATTATAAACTATAAAATGTACCGATATGATTAATATTAATTTAAATATTTTATAGTTTACTATAGGTACATTATTAAACGTTAATACTAAATTTTTGGATTTTTGATTTTCAAGATTTTTGGTTATTTGTAATATTTGTGAAACTAGGCTGAACAGTACACAAATGTATTAAGTTAACAGCATTTATTGAATTTATTTTCAACAATTGTGTTTAAAAAATATTGCTATGAATAATTTGATATAAGATATTGAGATAAAATATTTTTCAAAACAAAGTATTCGGAATACTGCATTAAACACCTACTTTTGGAAAATGTAATATAAAATAATTCGTAGTGCTAGCCAAGTCAGGTAAACGTTTAACAAGTGAATCGCATTAAATATTGATTTTCTTTTTCAAAAATATTATAAAAATGCTCTTACGCAAGCACGCATAATAATAAACAACACCAATATGATGATTGAGACGATTCTTTTGTGATGGTTGTCATCACAACTGCGTGACAGGATGGACATGTTACTTGCGTTGAAACCATACCCAATGGTGGAACTAAAACAAAAATGATTGTGATTAAAAAGTACCTAGAAAACCAGTAAATTATTTTTACGAATTCCGTTGTTATGAAATTAAAAATATTGAGAAAAGACTTAAAATAAGTTAATTGAAATATAATTACAATGAAATACAAAAAAATTCATACTTGTTCATATATCAAGTCATTTTCTATTTTGTTTTTTATTTCTAGTACCGGTGTTTATAAATAACAGAGTAAAGATAGAATAAATAAGACATAGGATACCTAAATAAAAAAATACCTAAACGATGACGAAACTTTCGACATCCCTTTTCATAGAATAAACATCTTTACGTTTATTATCCTGAATGACATTAAAAACAGATCGAAACTTTGTTTACTATAGTTGGGTGGGAATAGAGTTATGACTATAAAAATCGATTTGAGAGTATATACGTGAATAAAGAAAGAAAAAACAAAGAATATTTCTGAATACGCAGCATACGTTCCTCTAATATCGACGCTAATTTAAAACCAGGATTAAATTTATTACATAAGTATAATATTATAATTATGTGTAACAAGTAAACGTATCGCTGATTAAAAAACTGAGTAGTGTGCATCACAGTCACTAGAATCATTATGCGTACTTGAAGCATTCGCCGATGTTGACATATTGCGTTGTTTCAAAAATTCGTTGCGGAAAAAATGTCGTGAAGCGTTGAGAATAAATTCTGCAATGTAGGATACTAAAACCGTAATAATATTATACTAGATAAATAAATACTATGACTACCGAAAATTCAATATTTTATTGGGTACAGATTCTTAATCAATACCTAGCATAAAACTACTAATTTAATTAAATTTAACGACACAATTGTCACATACATAATAGTCACAATTATATCGTGTCAAATTAACGAGGCTCATTTATCTGAAGACTCCAACAAAAATCGTAATAACCCAGAAAAATGTACCATCTGTTTCGAGGACTATACAGCTAAATTCGGGGATGCAGAGTCAAGCTGTTATGGGCTATCATATATCATATAATATATAATAAATATCTTTTTAATAATTGATATATTTTAATATGGGATATGTATGATCATGTAATAATCGATATATTTAAATTTAAAACAAAACCAAAAGACACCGTTAAGACACTGTAATATCATATCCTTTTATTATAATTATATACTGGTCTATATAACAAGAAATTAAATCAGGAATACTATGAATTACAAATGTGGGTATTACAAGGGCCGGAGTTGGTAAATTGCGTCCCCCAAAAAAGGTCATAGTTATATACTGTGTAAATTGCGGCCCGAGTATATTTTAAACATACGTAAATTGCGGCCCGGGTATATTTGTAATGTACGTAAATTGCGACCCGGGATTTTCCGATATCCGGTCGGCTTGATGCTCATTTATATAATATTACTAGCCGCATTTGTGTGCATTTGATCGAAATATTTTACAGGAATTTTTGCATTGGTCTACACTAGTCTACAGTATTTACGGTATTTGGTAAATTAGTATTTGTATTTTTTTTTAAATTTAATAACAATGGAAGTTATGAAAAGTGAAAAAAATAAAACGTTGAAAATAGTTGATGGTTTCAAATTTCGTTTTCAAAAACTTCTAAACAATGATATTCAACGTTGGTGTTGTACAGTCAAAACTTGTAAGTGTTTTTTAAAATTTAATAATAATAGTATATGTATAGATAGCTTTAAAGACCATAACCATCTACAACTTTCGGAACAAATTATAAATCGTCAAAAACTTAATAATAATTTAAAAAGAAAAGCCGTTGATGATATTTTTACTAGGCCATCTAAAATTATTCATTCTGAGTTAAAAAACGCTGATGTCGAATCTTTAACTACACAAGACGTAAAATTGATTAAAAGAAATTTACACAATGCTCGAGCTTCTATACTACCAAAATTACCAGCCACTTTTTTGGAATTACATAATATTTTTGACAAAATGGAATTTAACACAAATAAAAATGAAAATTTTTTGTTAGTAAATAGTAAAGAAACAAATATAGTAGGTTTCTCTACATTAAGCAATTTAAAAGTGCTATGTGATTCGGATACTATATTAGTAGATGGTACATTCAAAAGTTGCCCAAAATTGTACCATCAATTATTTACTGTTCATTGTGCAATAAATCAATCTTATGTTCCACTCGTTTATATTTTATTACCTTCAAAGACTACATAGTGTTATTTACAAGCGTTTCATCATTTAGTTATAGAGTGCGAAAAAAATGACTTACAATTTAATCCTATTCGGTTGTATGCCGATTTTGAAAAGGCTATTCACAATGCTGCAAGACATGTTTGGCCTTCTATTGAAGTAAAAGGGTGTAGATTTCACCTTGGTCAAAGTTGGTACAGGAAAATACAGCAGCTAGGATTAAGTAATGATTACAAAAGAAATAATACCGATATAAGTAATTTTTTAAAATTATTTTTTGGGCTTCCTTTTTTAAGTGGTGATATGGTTGAAGATTGTTTTGCGTTTGATATAATGGCATTGCAACCACAAGATAATAGGATAGTACAATTTACCGACTTCATATTAGAAACATATATAACCAACGACGCGGAGTTTCCACCACAGATATGGGCTGAATTTGTATCCTCAACGATGCGCACTACAAATAATTGTGAATCATTTCATAAAAAATTAAATAGTTCGTTCAATTCGTCACACCCAAACATATTTCATTTTATTGACATTTTAAAAAACATGCAATGTGATACGTATATTATATTAAGAAGTCAGAGAACAAAAAGCAAAAAAAATGACTGATAAAGAAACATTTATACATAACAAAATGTATGAATTGCAAGCAAAAATAATTACTCAGTTAGACTATGTGAGGGAATTGTCTTATAAGTTTTTACCATTATATTAATTCGAATTTTTATAATACTATTTTTTTCACTATACATATTTTTACTTATTTTTAATATTATATTTTTTAATTGTAAACAAAACAGCAAAACCAATATTTTTAACCATACCAATATGAATACAATTATATTGCCAGTCCTAAGTCTGAAAAATGGGAAGGAAAATATTTATTTCGTAACCGTTAATGTAATTTACATAACAATGACAAATATTTAAGTAGGCGAATATATTAAACATTAATATATTAAATATATAAAAATATATATACAGGGGCCGAAATTTACGTATGTATAAAATATAGCCGGGCCGCAATTTACATAAAAAATTTGAAATGGACGCAATTTACAGCGACCCTACAAGGGCAACGACACACAAACAGCAGGTGCAAAGACCACAGAAACATGAACCTACATTTCCTGAAAATCACAGAATAACAAGTTCAATGACGTCAATGAAGCAATATAAAAGAAGGACCAAAATGACCTCAATTTAGATGAATTCTAGTCACGGAACTGCAAGCAACTTCACGTCACTCTATGTTAAAAAAATGTAATTTAAATTACATTTATAGTATTCGTCTACCCAATTTTGAAAAAAAAATAATCGAACAGTTCAAACCGTGGAAGTTTAAGAAAATAAACGAAAACGATTTTATGTTCATTATGTCCATCGACTATCGCCCACGCAACATTAAGGGGATTGCATATATAGATATATGCCGTCCATTTCTAAGGAGTTCATAAGTCCACAATGACCGACTCGAGTACAAATATGGATCAAACACCAGGATGGTTGGACAGCCATAAAACTCGAGATAAGGCTACAAACAGGAGATGGCCCCCTCGTGCAACTGCGACAAGTGAAGCCGAGACTGCGACAGAAACAGATGGCGACCTTGTCGAAAACTCCAAGAAAAAAGGAAAAACTAACAGAACGAAAGCGGTGTTCAAAGTCCCACACCCAGCGATCCTAACCACCTCCAGACCGGAACCCCACGCCCACCCTACGGAGACCTGGAGCACAGTAACTAAACGTGGCGCGAAGCGCGTTAAAACCACCACATCAACCCAAGCCGAGGTTTACAATAGACCTGCGGCAGAATTAATCAAGGTTGATGGTTAGGTTCCCACGCAGATCGGCTCCCCTCCACTATTTCCGCTGCCACGGCTTCGGTCACGCGTCCAGTTCGTGTATAGGACCGGACCTGACGTCTAAATGCCGTCGCTGCGACAAGAAAGAAAGAGATTGTGGAGGCGGAAACGACCTTTGTGTCGCCTGTGAACGCATCAGCGCTGAAAAGACTTCGCATAGGCCTGGATCTGGCTCGTGCGCTGCTTATCGGGCTGCACTGAGGACGATGGGTGGTTTGACGGCACCATAATGACTGCGTTCCTCCAAATCCACTTGAACCGGAGCGAATTGGCACAGCAACTGATGTATGCCAGGGCCGCCGATCTTGACTCACACATCCTGTTAGTGTCCGAGATCCCAGCAAGATCTCGAAACAATCAGCGATGGGTCACTTCCAGTGACAACAAATGTGCAATAGTTCTACCTAGAACCACACATCACGTCTTCCTCGATGATCAAGGAGTAGGTGAGGGCTACGTGTGGATCAAGTCCGGCCAATTTAAGGTGTTTAGCTGCTATTTCTCCCCGAACAAAACCCTTCGGGAATTTAACAGCCAGCTCTGGAACCTTGAGGAGGAAATCAGACAAACTGACCCTAGCACCGACATTATCATTGGAGGCGACTTCAATGCAAAGTCTAGTGTATGGGGCTCGGCACGAACAGACAAGCGGGGACAATTATTGTCTGAGATGATGTCCAGTTTCAGCCTCATCACGATGAACTTCGGATATACACCCACCTACCAAAGGGCTAATTCAAAGTCGATAATCGACATAACATTCGAGAGGGTAAGCCAAAGCGTACAAATCGTCGACTGGAAGGTCCTGGACACGTTCTTGGCTAGCGACCATAAGCACATTACTTTTGATCAACAGCCGACGACACGAGACGCAGACACGGACGCTCCAGCCCAAGAAGAATTTCCTGCATCCACTCGGAAATGGGCATACCGGAAGTTTGACCTAAACGCCCTGGATACATAACTAAGAACAGAAACTCCTCCCAGGGTCAGCGACACTTCAACCTCCGACCAAGAGGCGGACGCTTTGGTTGCGTTTCTCGCCGGGGCCTGCAACAGCTGCATGCCCCATAGACCAGCGGCACGGCAAACGAGACGACCTGTCCATTAATGGACTCCGAAAATCACAGAGTCACGGAGGATGTGCTTCGCGGCTAGGAGAAGGTATCAGAGAACTGCAAGGAGAACTGATGCCGAAATGGCAGCAGTCCACCGGGCGAAATATCGTTAACTCCGGAACCATCTTAGGCTGACCAACTGGAAGCCCAGGAAGCGGACTGGATCGCATTGTGTCGAGAGGTGGACAACGACCCTTGGGGGTTCCCGTATAAGGTGGTAACCAAGAAGCTAAGCCGAACACCACCATATGTTAGCGGACGAGCGAAGACGCATCGCATCGATATTAGAAGACCAGATGCCAGATGCCAACGTGAGCAAGGAAGCCATAAGAAAAAATGAAAGAGCGACGATCATTCACCGGTGGCAAGACGAGTGGAACCGAAGCAATAAGGGGCAATGGACGAAGCGTCTGATTCCCGACGTGGGTAGATGGATCAAAGCGAAATTACGGTGTCTTGCCCAAGCGCTTTCCAGACACGGCTGTTTCCAGCACTATCTATGGAGGATGAAGATGACGAATCCTGCACATACTGTTTCCATCCGACGGATACGGCTGAACATACAGTATTCGATTGCCCGCACTGGGACGTCCAGCGTTTATTGTTGAGTGAGTATCTAGGTGGACGAGGCCCCAGGCCAGAGGATGTTCTGGATCTTCTGAACGGACCTGTGGACAACCCAAGACACCTTTCGCCTGAAATTGCCAGATCCCGGCATGGTGGAGACCATCATGATTACGAAAGAGAGTGATGAAAGAACAAGACAGGCAGCAGGCAGAGAAGTTGCAAACAATGCTCGGGATCAGTGAAAGCGTAATAATGCGAGATCGGTGGAGGTATCACCGCCCACACTAATCCATATTGAATCTATGGCACCAGAGAGGGACGACGATCACGGCTGACAGAAACGAGTCTCCAGACCGGCTGGTCATTGGTACCGGGTCGGAAAGACTTCAAATCAGTAACGAGATTCAAGGCCGGCGGGCGTTAGCTTACAGAAGAGCAAAAAACTAGTTATTTCTTATAAGTCGAATACCACATTACAGAGGTTAGCAGCCCCTAAATTATGTACCAACCGATGTATTACGTTTTCTTTCTTGTGTAGTTTCATAATAAACGATGTGACCGGGGTGGAAGTAATACGAAAGCGGTTCCCACTCCGGTCATGATCCAAAAGGAAAAAAAAAAGACCAAATATTATTGGTACCTTAATAGAGTGATAGGAGGGGCAGAGTGATTAAGCCTAGGGGCGCCAAAACGCTTAAGCCGCCACTGCTCGTATGTCGAGATTAAACGAGATTGCCCCGTATTTCAACTTTGTGTCCCATTGTCCCGACAAAGCACGCATTTCGTACTGTTTTTTCAAGTCTATCTCGTATTAATCTCGTTTTCCCTTACTGTTAATTTATAACTTTTTGAAAATTTATTTTATAAAAAAAATCGTTATTTCTACGATATTCATTGATATAATCGAATCTATACTTTTCAGTGATGTTTTTTAATTCTTGTTTCGACTAAAAAACAAATAATGGTACATCGCTGTCGCAATGCAAAGCAATACGTACATATTATTATTATTATAATACTAGTGGTGACAATCCCACCCACTGCAGACAATTTATTATCAAATGTATGTATGATGATTAATATTATATCTAATTATATTTTATAATATCCACAATATGATATCAATAATCGATATAAAATTATTTTCTGATTTTTTTAACATTAATGTGTTGTGGACAGATGAACAAATTCTTTTTTTTGGTAGAAACTATCAAATCAACTATTTCTGTGTAAAAAAAATTAAAAACCCATTATTTTTATGAATTTTATTGTATTTAGATATTTTGTTAAAAGAAATTAAGTTACTAGATGCAATTAGTTCAACATAAATAAACACAAAAATAACAAAATAAATTTTTTTTTGTATTTTTGTGTACAAAATAATATTTTAAAACAACAGGTATCTAATTTGTTTTTTTTATATTCATATATTTGGTTACGTAACTAAAATGCCTTGTATTTATATAATTATATTTATATATATATAATATATAATTTTATGATCACGATAATCATAAATGATTAGAGTAAATGTATGTAGATTTGTAATATATTATGTAGGTATAACTCTCAACTCACAAGAGTACAAACTACATGATACATTCAATACGTACACAAATAAAACAATAACTAATAATGGTGATAACGTGTGTAAAACTAGCTATTCTTATTATGTATGACGTATAGTGTTTATGCCGGTGTGTAGGTCTAGATATTTTTGATGACGGAAAATTTTGATCGTATTTACGAACTTCATCGGGAAGCCACAGGGTATGTCAATAGCGGCCTTCTGGAATTTCCGAATGCTGTCGGATAATACAGCTTGAATACAGTGAAATGCTGTACTCTATTCAATTTAAGAAGACGTCGAAGGTGTATTTTGAATGTATAAAACAAGCCACGGCTCTATGCTCACAACACAATGCACAGATACCGTAGAAACATGGTTTTAACTCCAATAGAATGATCATGACTTATACTATGCTTCCTCGATGAGTTTTTTAAAAAAAATATTTTGGTTTATTTTTTACGTGAAGGGAAAAAATAAAAAAACTGACATTTTTAAGCTTGAATATTGGTTGATATATTAAATCGATCAAAAAAATCTCTTCGAGGAGGCATATCTTGATATCTCTCCTTTCAACAGAATTAGTCACATTCCTTCTAAGTAAATTATCGAAGGAGCTGTAACTATAGAGCGAATGATAGTTTTTTCTTAAATTTATAAAAATGTTTGAGCCAGCAAGTGCTACGCCTATCGGCAAACGAAAGAACTGGTTTATTCGGGTCGGGTTACGGCAAACAGGGTACGGGGTATATATATAAATATATTTGCAGACGGGCAGAACCCGTATAGTAGGCAAAATGGTTTATTTCTACTGTCTAGACTAATTGAAGAATTCCTAGTATACGATCGCTAAT